TCGAAAGAGTATGACTCAAAGTGATAATGGTGACTATTCATTCACATATTTTATAAAAAGTATATTTTGTAGTATTACAGTTGATATTACAAACTTGTGGTTATGCTGAATAAATATGCCATCAATACTTGGAAACAAACAAGATTGAGTAATACCTACCTCTATAAATATGAGAGGATGATGCATTATGCGCTTGGCGCCACTCAGAGATTATTATGTGGTCATTATAATAGTGTCATTTGTAGAAAATAAATAAGCTTTCCTACTACATATAGTATGTGTACGAAGTTGTTCCCACGCTATCAGAGGTTCACGCGTCAACGCGCTCGCTCACTGACCCAGCTGCCAGGTACGCCATCGCATCGCCAAGCGTCATCGTATAGATAGCGGCAAGTGAAACTTCATGAATGTGAAACCAAAGTTGTAAGGTCAATATTTAACTGCCCAGAGTTTCAGGAACTCACTAAGTACGATAAACATCTTTGCAACTAACATGTAATAAAAACGGTACTCAGCGCCAAACCCCAAGCCCAGTAAATATTATACTAAAGAACACAATCTTATTTTTTATATAAAGATTTTTATCACATTCGCTGGTATTTGAGTTCGGTGACCGTTTTTACAACTGTTTGAGACAAGTTTTTTTTAAATTGTCCATATTTATACACTTGCGTCGTTAAAAATAATAGAGGAAATGAATTATGGACAGTTAGTTTCACTATAACACATAGATCCTACAATGCCCGAGAGAGTAAATTATCCGCGCCGCAAAAAACTAAAACCACTGCCATCGTCGGTGCTCCGTCCGGTACGGGACACTTACACCTTTGTTCTGAGTGGAAAACCGTTTATTTCTAATAATCTTCCATAAAGATAACGGCCGGTGATTGCTATCGAATCATTCCGTAAAACTAATGGCGCTACTTAAATAAAACTTGCTTGCAAGTGTTGACCATTTAGCTCAGGTAAAGTTTTTGTACGGATAAAACAATGATTAAAGCAACGGTATTTTTTACTGCTAAGCACAATCAAGCGAATAATAAGAAGTCGAAATTGTAAACCAAAACGGAGAGCGGAGCCGGAAAAACAAACTATGACAACTGAGGCACGAGACAAAGTAAAGACCCTGCCGATAAATAATATTTCAAACAAGGCCTTTAGCTTAGATAGAACCAAGAGAATAGTTTCATTAGCTATCGAGATGAAGCGCCGCATGATAATAAAGCCATTACCGAGATAATTATACCTCCCAAAGGCGACCGTCTATCGCACACGTTATTGCATGTAAGTAAATATTAGACATTATAATATATAGATGCATGGTCACTTAAAGCTTTTATTGGTACGGAAGAGCAAAATATAGAGTACAAATGAACAGTGTATAACAAAGAAAGTGTGCCATAACGGTTTCATGCTGTCGTTATTGAAGTAGGCAGTAGATAAGAGATGTTGGGGCATGTCATGATCCCTGCACGATTATGTAGAGTGGAAAGTTGCTTCAGTGGCTTTTAAAAATATGTGAGCAACTTTATCCGTTGCAAAGCGCTGCAATTTAAATATTTTCAATTATAAGGGTTCACCTACAAACTAAGATAAGTAGATACAGAATGATAGATACCATACAGATGAATAAAGATACCATAAAAGTGTTAAAATTGGCACAATTACCAAGTCACTTGACTACTTCGCTGATGCCACATGCCGGCGGAACGAACTAGGCATTACTTGGTATGCACACAAGTAAAAGTTTGTAAGTGTATTTTTTTTATATAAATAGGTACACTAAAACCAGATTAATTCTCAAGACCTCACCGTTTATTTCTGGACATATTATGTAACAATTACATATCTTTCTTTAACCTAAATCAAAGTTTTTTTTGTTAAACAGTTGAACCCATAGATTGAACAGAATCATAATGACATTTGTTATATCGATTGTATAAAAAAACTGAGCAAAACACTACAAACAATATTAGGATCACAAAAAAATAAAAACTTAAAACGTTGAAAAGATGTTCACCTCTCTAGACAGTAATCCGGTCTGAGCCGGATATGTTGATTGCTTCGTATAGGCAATAAGATTAGTGTGCAAGGAATTGCAAAGTGACTTAGGGATAACTTTATATTTCAAATAATATAACTTCTGCAGGAAAATATTTCCACATCATTTTGAAAAGTGTTCTTTATGGTAGCCATACACACTACGATTAGACTGTACCGTCCGAACGGTACCGATAAATCGTAGCGTGTATGTTATAAAACTGCACAGTTTCCTATACGTAAGCCAGGTACGATAAACTGTTCCGTTCGAACTGTACAGTCTGATCGTAACAATTTCTCGTAGTGTGTATGGCTACCATTAGACATTGTATATATTCTATCATGGAAGTAGTTAAGTACTATGTGAAACAACAGGACATCAGGTTATCACAAAATATCAACATTTTCAGTTATATAATAATGTAAAGAGCTCCTGTGTTAACGTTTATTTCTAAATGATAAATTAATATAAAAAGTGAGAAGACGTATCTTACGTCTCGAACCTAAAGGCAACACAAGAACAAAAGTGTCTGTGCCTGAGATAGGAATACACATTAATCATTCGATTCGAATGAAGCCATCTCCAGAGTAAACCAAATAACGATCCACTCCACTAGGTATTCAGTAGTTTTTTTACTAAACTTGTTCTCACAACGGTTAGTTTTATACAGGATTTTACATGTATTTTCTTAGTAATTGTGGAAATAACGAGGCTTGTTGTTATTAATATTACAATGCTGCACAATTTAAACAATAAAGATAAAAAACTAATGAAGCTAGACAATGTGAGTGTGGTCAAACGCTATTGCCAAAGTTTTTATTGGCAATTTAATTTTTTAACATTCGGGTTATAACTATATAGGATGGTGCGACAATAGTTAATGAAAATTTGTGAAAAAATAAACTCTCTTGATTATAAAGCCTGACCTCGGACATGACAATCGCCACGTTGATGACTATAAACTTTTATTGCCGCTACGACAATAACATCACTGTTGTACACGTACTATTAGCTTTGACCGACATGATGTCATGATGGCGGACGAATCGCAAATTAATGTAGGAAGAGACAGCAATATTACCAAGGGCATTATATTTGTGAAGCTAAAAATATTGTATTTGATGTGTTTTTAACAATTTGTTTGTTTACGAACCCAAACCACCAAATTCTATTTCGCAGTTGTCAACAGACCACTTAGTAACAAAAGCTGATAACCGTCGTAGGATAGGAAGTAGGGACAAACAAGTGAAGAAATTCGCGAGATTGCTTCCAGTTTGTTTTGTTTGTTGCTCCCCTCCGACATCGACGACTGAACAAGTAGGCGGCACAGTATTGTGTAACGAAGAATATATGGGGTGGTTAAATCGACTCATTAAAGCCTGCCACCGAGGCAATGTCTAAAGTTTGCACGCGTTATCACTTCCAATTTCTTACGGGAGACAGCTTGTGTTCAAACAGCAGGCATAATTAACCGAGAGGAGGACAAATTAGATGATTCTAAGGCAATGGTAAAAATATCTTGATTAAAATTAGGTACTATTAAAATACATGAGGACGCGATTAAATTGTATCATTTCCCACGCTTCTGATCCGAGTGGTGAAATCAGTTAATCGGTTGTGTTAGGTGTCGTACCTATTGGCAAACACAAACGGTCCGGTTAGAAACGGTGTATGCTCTCTAACAATAGTATTTTGTACGTTCACTTTACATAACAAAATAGACAAACCAGCAATAGGTCACTCCGGCATGTATAACAAATCTCGAAATTATCTAGTAGCATATTTCATTTAACACGCGGAGCTCGATGGCGCAATCAGCGTGTTCGGTCGTAGAAGTTGAGAAATTTTTGCAATGACCGGTCATACGATGGATGGCCAAAAATTTATTAAATCACGTTCGTTGAAAGGCACGTTAGGCCGTTGGTTACGCAGGTTGCATTTGTAGTCATCAGCCCCTACCAATCCATACTGGGCTCGCGTAAATCAATCTCCCCATTATAGAATAGAATGGATAGCCATAAAATAAGGTTTATGCCCCAGCAATTCTGACGTCGATTTTAATATTTATTCATTTACTACTCTAAATTAAACTAGGTGAATTGCCAACGTTTTCATAATTAAAGTGATAAAGAAGAGTTCTTGAAAAATATCTTATCCTGGAATGAACCGTTACTGTACTTTTATAACAGATGCGTTATTGTGACACCGCAACCTATTAATAATTTTAGGAATTGTAAGAACTGCATATTTTTCTCTTTTTACTATATTTGTATACGTTAAACGTGGTATGTTTAATTTTATGCCTACTGGAAGTAATAGAATTGGATATACCTCATGAGCAATTCTCCTCGCTCTAAAAGTAATAAATCATGAGAATATCAAATAACAAATGGGGAGCCCGGATTAGAGCCACACCAAATGGTCTATGTCAATCTCCAATTGAACTTATTAGATACAATTTAGGTACCACACGAAACGCTATTGTTGCGGCACTAATGATGACTTATTGTTCACCTTAGCTGTCCTAATAGTAACGATTTAATGGTCTATAATATAAAAAGACATAATTGAAATCCATTAAATTAATTCTAAGCAAAAAATTATAATCTTCATTATACACATAACATGAGTCATGGCTCATGTCACATGATAAAACTCCGTTATAAATTTTATAAAATAGTGAAACTATTTAAGTTTATCAGAATGTAGCTTGCAACAACAAATATTTCATTTGAGGTACGCAACGATACAAACATTCATTATATAAATTATAAATAGAATAAATTCAATCGGGTCAAGTAGGCATTTTATGATAAAAAAGCATACGCTTAAATTATATTATTATTAGAGAATCTATATTGGAGATAGATAGAGTACATAGTTACTCATAACTATAAACGTTTATGCGCAAGCCGCCTATCCCATTACTTTGTGATTAAGAAGTATTTTATTGTTACAGATTAGGAACATGAAGAAAATGACAAACTGCGAAAGTGGGTGGTGGGTGGTATTGTTGACTGCGACATTGGCGGCTCCTGTTTTAGCCGAGGCAGGAGTGGGGCTGTTCAATGCAAGATTAAAACAAGTTACCACCTCCAGTACCCTAAAGTGGACCAGTTTTAAAAAAGAAGCGACTAATAACTATGTAATTGGAGCTGAATCACAAAAAGGTTAATATAATTACACTTTTTACCATTGAGAAAACCTTAATTAAAATTATTTAAAAACAATAAAATTTATTTTGTTCACAGGACCTATATATTTATGTAGAGCGCGACATGTAGGAGATATGCTTTTAGGACAGTTGAGACCTGAATATACTGCTTGTGCTGTTTCCGGCAGCAAGAGCTACGATGCATTTGAAGTACTTGAAAATATCGAAAATGCTTCTTTAATAACCTGGCAGCCATGGTTTAAATTTAACTCGAAACCAACTGGAAGTGTTTTAGTGGATTCATCGGTTGATTCTGTTTTTATTGGCAGAGTCAAAGCTGAAAGTGGATTTTCCCATAACGTTGGTAGGATATCCTATGAAAGTGCTATTGGGCAATTGATGACATTTGATGATAAAAACAATGAGCTAACTGAAACTAAAGGAGAGATATTAGTAGAGATGGAACCTATAAGTTACAAATTGGAGAGCGTAGAATTAGATCTAGTAACTGAGCACGTCCGACAATCAGACCCAGAAATATTCGGAGAGCGCACTTTAAGAAATGATGACAGTGTTGCTGCTACCGTAACCACAGCCATAGAATACGAGTTCAACTATAGTGTTTCTTGGGGTCATGGCCATGGAATAGCTATTGGTTTGAATACCACTATAGAAATGTCTGACGGAACTGTTTTCCCTCAAATAGAATGGGCTAATCCGTTCACAGAAAAGAGAACAAAATTATATAATCTCCAAATATATCTTGAACCAGGTACAGCCTGCAATGTTACGTTTAGAGGAAATCGTACGGAGCAAGACGTGCAGTATACTGGAAAACTTACGACGTTCTACAATGACAATGAACCTCGATCTAGACAAATGCGGGGTGAAAGAATTGAAATAACTCTGGAGGTAGAAGCCATTTATGGAGAAATATATTTTGTTGGAAACAACAGTTTGGTACCAACTACAACCACCACAACGACGACAACAACTACCACAACTACGACTACCCCGCTACCAACAATTCCAACTGAATCTGATAAAAATAACATTCCGATTGAAATAATAAAGCCTAACCAATCTGCCGAAATAGATAGCAATAATCTGGTGGGCAGCAATGATGACAAACCGCAACCGGCTAATGAACAAAACATAAAGCAAGCTATAGTAGGACCTCTAGGAAGTAAACCATCTAGTGGTTCAAACCTGCGATTTATTTATTTCACTCTGTTGATACCATTGTTTATGCTTTTGATTTAAATGTAATAAATCTAGTGCCCTTGTAATGTAAATATTGAATCTGAAATACCTATCATCAATAGATAGTTGCTTCGTTTTCATATTTTGGTAACTATGCTTGATGCTATTGGTTGTTAATCTAGGAAAAAAATATTTCCTCGGTTACAAGTTGTAAATAGACTTTATTATTTTCTTAACATTCCTGTTATGTGATTCCATTTCAATGTGTAAGATGAAAGCCAAATTTAATCACATAACTGTAAATAGAGTTGTAAATAGTTTTGGAAGTGGGAGTCGCAGAGCGACAAGTAACTTTGTAACCATAAAGAAGGGGGTTTGTAACACCGTAGATAGAGATAAATGCGTGTGAACTGTTACCAAGATATAACAACCAAGAAAGAGTTTAAAGTATAAAGCTGCCTAAAATTCAACGTTGCTTAAATCAATAAAAATCCAAATGTGATAGTTTAAATAGTTAATGTAAAGTACGACCACACATTATTTTATGATTAAAAATACTAACAACTGCCGACGGAATGCCAAAATTTTTCGAATTCAACAAATTATATTTTTATTCTAATGGTAATCCATTTTGTATTTACTTCAAATAGAAATCATTTAATAATGTGAATTCATTTTTAAGTAAAAGTTGAAGTGTCTTTTTAATTCGCCAACAGAAGCAAGAATTAGAATGTTTCAGTACCTCCTATTTTGTAATATTTGTATTTTGATTACTTTATCGTTGTTATTTTTAGTTGTAAGAGACAAGATTTTAACACCCAGAATAAGAGATATTATTATTTTTAAAGTTTTAGCTCATATTATTATTTATTTTGTTTTTATTGCTTTGTATTATTATTTACTGAAATATGTTTCAACAGGTATTTGTACAATTGTTCGGAAGAATGGAAATATTTATTTAATTGCCAAAGTCGTAGCTTAATTTTAAGCGTCTATCTGCTGTTATTTAGTTTAGATCACTAACAATTAAAATTTAATTCCATCCCTCCGTGTTAATCTTACAACTTTAGTATTAGGTAAAAAACATCGCCCATAACAAATATTGTTGTTAGTATGATTAGCTGTTTTTGTCAATGTGTAAAGAAAGTTGATGATATTTTTGTATGGGTAAATATTGACTGTAAGCATTCGCCTTAATATATAAGTAAAAAGACATATTCGCTATTATTTTCATTTATAATTCATAATCATATGGTCCATTAGATAACTGCGATAAAATTAAAAAAATAATAAATAAGGCTTTCTTTAAAAACATACCTTGATATTTCATTGTAGAACTATTTATAGAACCGGTGATCCTCTCGATCTTTGAACAATTTGTTGTGTCAATGTCCCACCTAGTTGTACCATTATGTAATAAGTCTAGTATTTTGTAATGATCACATTTACTGCTTTAGTCAGGAACTATTTTTGACTTAAAATGATATTGTAAATTGATGTTAGTATTAATATTTTTGAAAATATCGAGGCCTCTATGTTCAACGTCTAATATTTTAGATTGCTTAGGTACCCCTTGTTAATTAGTAAATCTGTTCCATAGTGTAAGGCATGTTCCACTGTTTGTTGTATGACGGGGCGTCCGATGTTGGACATTTGAATCTCTTTAACATCAACATTGTTTTTGCAAAGCATAATTGTGATGTTCAATGTAAGTTTTATTTGTTTAATTAAACTCATTAAAGTGTAATTATAACATTCTGTGTTTTTTTGAAGTGAAATCTTCTTTAGTATCGTGACTTGAGATTCGATGAAACGGAAGTAAAATATATGTAAGTAGAGTATTTGGGTACACAAGGTAGGTACTGAGGAGTTCTAGCCAGAGTGGATAGAACTCAGGGGCGTAGGAATTTATTGAAACAACTTGACGATGGTTATTATTTTATATTAGATTTCAGGCGAATATAATTATTTTTATCTAAGCTACGCAAGGGTTGGTGCCTGAAGATCGTCTCTTGTATGGAACCTTTTATCAAAAGACAGACGATTCCTTATTTCAAATCTAACCTTAACTTTACTTAACATCGACATCAGTCGGCAAAAACAAAAAACAAAGCTATCCCCAGCTATTCCTTAAATTACCCAAGCTATTTTTATTTTATCCCATCTATCAGCAAAACTTTACCCTATCCCATTTATTAAACCATTAAATAACAAGAAAATCTGTATTTTGAAACTTAATTACTTCCCATACTAAGTAGATGTACGAAACGAAATTCGAACTATTTCCTAAGATTCGTAAACACTAACTGGATTTGAGAAACTAAAAGAATTAATAATTAATGTTTACTTTCGTACATCTTTAATAAAGATACAGACGTGGTCCACCACTTTATTGTCTTGTACTTTATTAGACACGTCACGTAAGGACATCTAGCATCAAACAAGATTAAACCCAATTCCCATGGAATACTAAGGGTTCCCTACCCCCAAGTCAATCTACTACAAGTGACGATTTTGACGAACGCGACGCGACCAAATTGAAACGAAACGACGCGAATTGTAGAGCGTGTCTTCATCATCTTCAAGGTCATAATAAAACATCGTCAGTATCGCTGACGTCTGCATGAGCGCCAGCCTGCTCTCTCTCGTCTTTTGATAGAAGGTTCCATACAAGAGACGATCTTCAAGCACCAACCCTTGCGTAGCTTAGATAAAAATAATTATATTCGCCTGAATCAAATAAATAACTTTAATAATCCAATTTCTTTTAATTAGTAACTACGTCCCCTGAGTTCTATCCACTCTGGCTAGAACTCCTCAGCGCCTCCACCAGTGCGGATTGATGGGTGCTAAGCTAAGGTGCCAGTTGCGCCATCGAGCTCCTCAATAGTTAATAATAGTATTTTTAAATAGTTTAACAATATAATTACATAAATTACAGAAGAGCCCGGTGTCGTAGATGGTTAGCACACATTCACAGCCCAGTCTCCCTATTCAATCCATAGGAAAGGCTTGTGCCCCTGTAGTGGGGACATTAATAGGCTGATGATGCCACGAATTACTATTAATTATAGTTTCAAATCAATGTTCATCAATCAAATGTCACTTAGGCCTACTTTAGGCGTATGCTAATGAAGCTCGCTTTATATCGACGTCGTCATAAAGGTACACAACAATCTTTATTAAGATAGTCTTACAAGTAGAGCGTATATAATTTGATGATGGTACATTTATAACAACTGTGATGAAAAAAGTTAATTATACGATAAAATGTAGACGCTTTTGGTGGCAAATGAGGCGATCAGTCATCAAGTGCTTGAGAAAACAGGCTAGTAAAGTTGTCTTGTTAGTTTAATGAACCACTAATAATAAAAAGTAATTGTCAGTTCATGTAAGGTGGACGATGTTAAATTAGAATCTGAATCAGCTAGCAGTTATGATTGTGAATAAGAATAACGTACTGAATAAGTCTTGTTATTAAAATTCAATAAAAAATGGAAAATGTACCTTAGCTAATTTCGGATAGAGGTTCGCTTAGTTAACCTCATCTATTGATGCCAGCACGTCACGGAGACCATCGTCAGCCTAGGCCGATAACCTCCACGGCTATGATTTGGGAATCGATTCAGAATAATTCAGAAACGTTCAAAATAAAAAACAAGGTGCGCCAGATTTGCACAAATACCTACTTATTCGTGAAAATATAGCGTGAATTCGATTATGGAATATAATTGAAGATGTACAATTATATCACGAGTCAAGTGCTAATTTACGTTAATGACATTACTGTGTGCGCATTAGATAAGCACAATTTACTAACTCTGAACTGACATTCACGTTTAGGTATGCGAAGAAAGGGAGACAACAAAACGCCTAAAGTTCATAGCATTCCCTGGCATTTTAGTACGAAAAAAACGTTGCTGTTTATTGTAGAGAGACCCGGAAAAACATTAAAGCGGGCAGAAGTTATATTCTAACCTTGGTATTCAATGGAAAAAATAAAAAATACCTGCATACTTTATATAATCGCAGAGACACCTGCTCTTTACGGCTAAATATCATTAGGTTATAGGAATAACTTGATATAACAAAGGTCTTCAAACAGCAGAAGAAAGTAATTTGAAAGACTATATAATACTGTATGTAACATTAGCGTATTAAACAGGTATAATCTGCCATGCCAAGCGCTAGTGGGGGTATGCGATGCGGATTGTTTGGTTCCTAGTTGCACATTACACATTGTAAATTGCAAACTTTAGATAACAGCGATTCAAGATAAGATTGTACATTAAATAAATTTATGTAAAAATAATCACATAATTTTATTTATCTTATATGGTTATCTCACAGATGATAAGAAAATAATAACGATTTAGCATATCATAATGTTTTTTTTCAGTTATAAAATATGTACGAGAGACGTGGTTTTCCAATACAGGAGTAATGTTTTCGCGGAAAATGGCATGTTTCCCTCACGTTTTATTTATCACCTTCGTGCCCGTGCGGGGTGTTGACAGCCGGCGCGGCGCCTACTTCTGCTACTGTCTCTCAAAAAAAATATATTGCAAGCAAAGATTTATTATAAAATATACTTTAATGTCCTTGGTTGCAAGAAAGCATTGTTCGATTTTCGTAACCCTACATAATGAAATTTTCATTCAGGTGTAAAATGATATCCAGGTAATTTTTTTTCTCTGTTTCATTTAGGGGTATTGCAAAGGGTACGGTCATGCACTAAGCTTGTACCAACAAACTAGTTTCGCTGCATGCGATTTATGTAGGATCTGCGCAAATTTAATCTAGTCTAGTCTAATTTGACTCTCCCTTTGGATTTTGACACATTACGCCAACAAGTGTTGCAGTGCACATCTTCTATTTCACCAGTGTAGGTATAAAAACTTTGTACGTATGTATTCGTACATTTATCACCCCGAATTTATTAGCAGATGTGGAGATCCTTCTTGTCACGCAGTACACTGATTTTACACATTTAAATTTTTTTTTTTTGATGATTGTTTAGCGATATTTAAGGAACTTAACTTTTTGTAATACTAATAATTTTAATGCCCAAAAACAAAAAAGAGTTAAAAATGTAGTGTTTTGTATTTTACATAGAAGTTGTACGAATTTATGTTCCTAAATACGAGTAGCATGAAACCTATTATAAAAAGAAGTATGGTATTTATCTATCCTGCATAATATTCTTTCAGCTCTTCTTCTACCAACATTCATATTATTATGGATGGGTCAAAAATTAACTTAGAATGCTAATTAAGAACTGTTTTTAATATATATAGCTGTCTGAGAGCAAATAGCCCACTTAATTTATACAATTCAGTAGTACATAATCTAAATCTAAATGTTTTGAAGATCATTTACTATTTATACTTTGAGTACAGATCTCTCAACCCTTTGGGTAGTTGATAATTTAGTCTTGCGCACACCACCCCATAGCGCAATACACTACGGTATGAGAGTATGAATTGGCATAGTGCATAATAAATAGTTTTTAGTAATGTAAGATCAGATACTTTACGTAACTTCTTAATGGCCCAAATAACTTTCCGTACCTTAGCATTTAAACTGGTTTCTATCTGTT